ATAAATAAATAAATAAATATATATCACAGTTTAGAATGTCGGCAATGCCAATGGAACTTCTTTTTCCTTCCAACATAATTTACAGATGTTTGCAAGTGCAGTTATTTGTATATAGCCATGATTGCTGCTGCCACATTTACACATCCAGTGAAAATCACAGTCCATTCATAAAAGTTCTCCCTGACGGAGTCTTCTTGCAACAGCGAGCTCAACTTCCAACATCGGTTTACGTAAACGACTACCCGAGCAAGCTGAGGCCCGGAACAAAACAGAAAGAAAACAGAAAATAAAAGTCAAAATAAGGCATTTCTTAACTTATAACAAAACGATACCTGTCACATCTGAAATTAAATTAAATGTTGATTTCAAGTTACGCAAGTGAAACGAAATTATGCTCAAAATGCAGATGTAATCAATAGCTCTTATATTATTGCTACTGTACTTACAAATTAATTGTATCAGAATGACCAAAGGAACAGATCAATCGAAAGTGATATTTACGAGCATTGATTAGCGGCTTAAAATGGCAGGCCTAAGTCAAACAGATAAAGATCCCTTGGTCCTGTCCTCATATTTTAAACTGGAGTCCACTTATTACAAGCAGTTTTAAAAAGTCATCGGGGTTTCCCTAATTCAGGAAAGAACATGTGATTTGGAGACCTCCTTCGATCTCCGGGATCTAGCCACATTCGAAGACTGACTTAATGCACACATGTTCATTTAGTTTATAAAAAATGCGGAATGTTCGGGCCTGTCAGCAAGACGTTTGCAAGGTTTTATGACACGCGCACTAATTAAATTGTCTGATCAGGTAAGCGAAATTAATGTCTGCTTCTTGAATTTATATTAAATTGATATTCGCTGTAGATTATTCCACGAGATGCAAGCCTAACCAACTGTTTTATGAAGCTCACTACCAATTTGTTTGGCATTAGACGGTGTGCACAACTTGATGGGGCCACGTGACACAAGGAATGAACCCGTAGGCTTGGGGACGGCGGGCCGCTCCCCTATTGAATTATATCCTGACATTCGCCTTACAACCGAGGAAAACCTAAGTCAGGGGAGTCGAATGGTCAGACCACTCGTTGTGCCGACTTAACCGTCTTGTCAGAGACAGCCCCCTCCGTTGCCCTTGGCCGGCACAAGTGCCTTCCAAGTTGCCGTACCAAAGGATTCCCCATGTCAACTAAATTTCCGTCTCAGCTCTGATGCGGTCGGCGATGAACGAAATCCCCAAATCCTCGTGAATTTGCTTATTTCAAACGTACAAGGCGCGTTGTTCGCTTATGCAGCTTCCGAACGAGGGTGCTAGCAGCTGACCTCCAGATCGGGCTTGCATAATCCATCATAGGATGAATCGGTTATCTTGTAGGGGAGGCCTTCGCCCCAGATCGTGTCGAAGGCGTTTGCCACTACCAGGAAAACCTCGCCGGTTAGCCGCCTCTCGTCAAAGTTCCTGTTGACCCTTTCAACGAGGCGAGCCAGCTGTGTCTGGGTCGAAACCCAAACTGCTCGTCGCGCAGCAGCCCGCGTATGTCTCTAGTTAGTTGGATCTTCTCATTCTCCACCATTTCACTTCCATCGCTTCCTAGGTCAACCAGTCTTCCTTCTTCCTTACCGCATGTCCTAGCCATCCAATCCATCTCCAGTTATTTCTGGTTGTCGATCCAAACTCCTCAGCTCCCGATCATTCCTTATTTCCTGTTCGTTCCCTTCCTTCTGTGTTCGAAATATCTTCCTTAAAAATTTTTCCTTCCACTTTAACGCCCATATTTCTGAAGCATTTGTTACTATTGGTTTAATCACTGTAAGTTTTGACTTCGCTATTGATCCCAGAGCGTAAGAGCATTTATTTCCTAACTCCAATTTCCTTCACTTAATGCCGATCCTAGGTACTTGAAAGCAAATTTCCCTACTTGTTAGATCCTGCACTCTCTGTCATTTATCTTATCACTGATTTATTTTGGTTTCCTTGTGGCCCCACTTTCTCCGCTCCTCTTTCGCCTTCTTTTAAATAATTTACACTTCTGCGTAATAAGACTGTCTCATCCTCTTAAAAGCAGTGCCTAATCTTTCTCCAATAAGTTTCAAGAAGTGCAAATTAATTTTGAAGCGGTACTGGGAATTCGAGAATGTGCCTAAGTGTAAGGACGGTGGACACGTGAATTTGAAACGCCTCAAACTAAGAATTACAAGAATTTGAGTTAAATCTGAGACGCACGGCTCTGAACGACGTGTGCAAACAGCGTTTTCGTGGACCGCGCGCATCAACACGTGACGACAGTTCACACGATCGCCAGAGAATTCTTCAAGGCGATGGATTAGTTAGATCACGATTTCCAAGTCAAGCGTTCGCAGGATTCTCAAAACAGCGAAATTGAACTTCCACGTGCCAAGGTTACTCACTGCATACGATGATGATGATCCTGACGGCAGACTTGAGATTTCTGAATAGACTCCGAGGAAGGAGATTGAGGACGAACACTTTCTGGGCGATTGTTTGGACTATTGTGGCGACATTTGAGCTGAACCAGCACAATCGTGTGAAATGGTCGTCTGAAGGCAGGACATCGGTCTGGTGATTTCTGTCATCCAGGACCGTCGTCCTTTGAAGCGACAGTCCTTGTGTTCCGTTCCTCACATGCTTCAAGAATCCATTGGTCCCACCGTTCGGCAGCCGAATTGAGATGAGGCCATGTTTCATCAACTTTTTCCCAACCGATGGTGAGTACCCCTTCGCCTATCACCAGACTTAACCCCAGCTGTCTATTTTAATCGATTGGACATGTTCTATGGCTCAGTTCTTAAAAAACGCTTTCTCGGCTTACATCGGGGAATTAGCCTGGAAGAACGAGAAAATCCATTTTTCTAGACGAGTTTCTGCCGACATTCAGACCCGAGTCATTTTGATTTGCTAATTTAATTTAATGTTTTAAGGGCAAATACGCAGTCGAATGCCTGCGTGCCTCATTCTCGCTTGCAAAGGAAATGCCGTGCATGTGGAGTCTCTCAAGGACGAACAATCGAAAGTTTCCCTTATTTATGCTTCCACGGCATTTCTTAGCGTTTAGTAAAATAAAAATTAACTAAAACCTTCTCTGCATAAATACGACTCTCCCACCTCTAGCACATTCTTCGAAATGAAAGAGAGTAATTTCTCTGGCAAAAATCACGTGACGGTGCCATTAGGACCACTTGTGACGCATAACGAGTAATGTTGAGAGTAAGAAACCGACCTAGGGCCTACACAAAAGTATTTTAGTTGTAAACAATTCGGTATAGCGTGACCTGCACCCATGACCTACCCGACTGATTTAGAATTAGCCTAAAATATCATTTTAATTTAATTGACCAATAATTTCGTTCATTTAGTAACATAAGCTTAATTATTTACAGCATCCCAATGTTTGTTTATGTCGACGTGTGTCTGATTTATTCGTCAAATTTTGGTTTAATTCTACGCTAATTTTTCCATTATGGTAGTCGACCTGTGAGTTATCGCCAGAGAAAAACGAATGTCCGCTCCCAGAAAATGAAGTTCATTGGCGTCCATTGACACAAAGATTAGCAGCTTCTTTTGCTGCAAAAGAAGGCCTATTTGACTGTTGTCTGCTATTGTACTCCAGTTGACTTACTGTTATGTTACCTCCTACTGCGTCGGCCGCCCGTCACGCCAACTACTACTTCGCCTCAGATTTTCCTCAGTCACTCAACTCAGTGACAGTCGCAACTGTGCGTCTTTGTTTGTGAAGAGAAGTAAACATGAGACGATTGCAAACAAAGAACAGAATCGCTCTCACTGCCCTTATCTATCACGCAGCGAGTGTTTGCTTTGTTTCTGCCTTCAGCATTATTCATTGGTCGAAACTAATCGACAGGCAAGTCGGCGAAGTCGTGGAGCGGGTCGACTACACGTGTCGAAGTGTCTGATATTCTATGATTATCTACGGGATTATCCAGAATTTAGAATTACACTCGATCAGAGTTTTTAAAAATTAAAATGGAGATAACAGCTCTAATGTAAGAGCAATAACCTAATGAGGCAACAAATCTCGTGGAACTGTTACTGTATTTATTATTGCTATCAGATAGAACAGTCTGCGTAATTTCTACCCATCAGTTTCATTAATTACTTCCAAGTATTATTTCTATAAATGCAACATCAGAAGAAAACTTTACATTTCACTTTTATTTGGTGGCTAGCCGGGACCTTCGCGATTCTTGGGAGGAAGCTCTGTCCCCATCTTCAGGGTTCAGAACATCAGAACCGTGAAGATGGGGACAGTTTGTTCCCGAAACGTAGCTTTACTACGGTAAACAGCTAACGCGGCTGATTACTTCATAGCGCTTAAACAGGAATGAAATTTCACTGCACGTCAAACGCAACGGCTTCAAAGTTTAAAAGTCAATTTTAATCCATTTCTACGCGGTTTCGTCAACGCGCAGCAAAATTCTTTCACTAATTTGGCAACTGTGCGGGTCGCAGATTTTATCAAATGAGACACCCATTTGGCAACACTGCTGCATCGTCAGAGAGGTAACAGACTGTTTCATCGATTGCGTTCACAGTCGCCACTTGGCATCCGCCGAAACCTTATGGAAATGGTAGCAAATATTACGGGAGTTTTCTTTTCTCAAATTGAAGCCCGTCGCCTCTGTGAAGTACGACTAGTCACAAAGTGTTTGGGCAGAAGTGATATTGAAATCTGGCCCCCTCTTCAAGGTGGAAACGGCATCAGTAAGTTGACCTTGTTCTACGTATTTTTGCTTTCCACGCACATTCATTTACTTCGCGTTAATTTAGAATTAGCATTAGATCTTACTTAAATTCCAAGGCACTTTTTGAGCTAGGATTTGAGACTTTCCTGGTCACGAGCAGGCAGTTACATAGGCGACTTCCGAGGATCCAGTCACATCAGAACCCTGAAGATGGAGACAGAGTATTCCCGAAACGTCGGTTTACTACGGTAACCAGTTAACGCTGCTGATTGCCCGAGAAGATTTTACTGATTTACTTTTTGAGCCTTCGACAAATTGTTAATCCAAGTCCTGCTTGAATCCGATAATTATGCTCTTTGGAGAACAGTGGCGCCATCGAATGGCCCATGAATGACATCCAGGGAAAAATAAAAATAGACCCTGCTACCTTTTTCCAGTCCAGCAAAATAACAAAGTGAGATTATACATAACTATTGATGTGACCTTGGACCATGGAAAGGAAATCTGAAGACATGTCGGATGTCTTTGAAAGGAAAATACTAAGACAAATTTATGGTCCAAACCTGGTAGATGGAGAATTAGGTACAATAATGAAATTTGTGAACTAAACAAGGACCTAAAATTTTCCCTGTTTATTAAGCTCATGGCTGGCCGTGTGGTTAGGATGGAGGATAGTCGCGTACCCAAAAAGGTGTCTCAAGAGACAATACATGTATATGGAAAGAGAAGAATAGGTAAACCCAGAAAGAGGTGGGAAGATGCTGTGAGGGAGAATGCCAATAAAATTCTAGGAATAAGGAAAAATAAGAAATGAATGGAGGCGAAAGATTGAAGAGGCCACGGTTCAACTTTGAACTGCAGCGCAAAGAAGAGAGAGGTTAAGGCTGGACAAGCTTTCAAAATTTTAGTTGTTATTTCATCATATCCTGATGAGTTTTTTTGATTTAAGGGCTGTATTACACTTTTCACCTCAGTTTCAGTGGCTGCAATAATATTAAGATCAGAAAATTTTACAAGAAATGCGGCTTTTAAAAATGAAACAGCATCTTCTGTCTCTGCTTGATGTAAATTTAAGCTTTCGGTAATTGTTAGAAAAAACTTAAGCCACTGTTCCAGGATCCTTTACTTTTTCATTGTTTATTAGAAGATGTGGCATCTGTTCTGATAAATATATTTTTCCTCTCTCCCTTTTTATTATGTTAAATGTTGTTTTTATTTCATTGTCTGATTTTGCTATAAGTCTACTGTAATGCTGCTTTTTAGCCTCTTTTATAACATTATTCAGGATTACACAATACTTAATATAAAATGCTCTTGTGTGTGGGTCATTACTGTTCCTACTGCAGATGTACAGACTCCTTTTATTCTTTGTGTAATCCAGTAAAAAGCAATTCTGTTGAGAATTCCCAAAAAATGTGGCAACCTAGCAAGAACATGGAACTCCGATTAGGAACGTGTAATTTGCTTTCATTATATAGAAGTGGGGCGCTGAAACAATTAATTGATATAACAAATGATTATAAAATTGACATTCTTGCTATCCAAGAGATGAGACTGGCAGGACAGAAGAGTACAGAATTTACACCAATTCATAGTCCATAAAATAGTAAGACATCAGTTGTAGACTTCCAGCCTTTGATATGAAAGTATGTCAAATAAAAATGTGAGGCAGATTTCATGATTATAGCTATATATAGCTATGGTAGCTTTTAAAAGACACTTAATTACACACTCCTTTTACTCTGTCAATGAATCTATATTGTTTACAAATAAGTGATAAATTTTCTTCTGTGTGTAATGGGCAGATCTATTTGTAGCTTATCATTTCTTTAGGTGAATCCTTTGTTTGCATTATTTGAAATTTATATAATAGTATGAATTGTACTTTATAATATGTATTGTATTATTATGGCTTTTTCCACATCCTATTGTCATCTGACTGTCTTATGGATCCATGGAATGTAATAAAATATGTATCTATGTAACACAATATGAAGCAAATTTTTGTGTTTTGCAGAAAACAGTACATTTTGTGAGAAACTCAATCTCAGAAGTTAAGTTCAAGACAGACACACAGAAGAAAATTTTTGTACGCACGGACACTAAATTTCACTAAAATTGCAGAATCTCGCTTTGAAATCACAACACGTTGCTAGAGCCCATTTGTGAGGACTTACCGGGTTTTGTGGTGGTGAGTTGGCTGCTGGGTCGTTTTGTGCTGGGTATAGATGTTGCTGAAACACAAAACCATCAACCTTTATCTTACTAGCGTTCCTTGTCTGGGACGTAAGTTGTGTACTCAGCCCTATGAAAGTTCCTTTTAAATCCCCGTCGTTTAAAGGTTAAATTAAAATTTTACAATAACACTTTTTTTATAAAATTTACACTCACGCCAAATTTTACAAAATTCGAAGAATCTGGCGTCTCAGTGTTTATATAGGTAGAGGCCCTGCGTTGGGCTGATCACTCATCCAAGGAATCCTACCATTGTCCAAATAGATCAATTGAATGAAAATAAACCTCGACACATACGGATGAAAGAGGATGTAGAGAAAGAAAGTGATTTACCTTTGGTCACAGAGAATAATAAAAAATGTGTTCCATTGCTCATAACAAAACATTTTTACAACTTCAGTGGATGGTCATGTTTAAAGGCAATTTTACAATAAAGTAAACTTATGGCATCTTTCTAAATTAGCCTACATAGTATTTTATTTTTCAAGCCTATTTACATTTGAAACTCTCTTTGTGTGGTCAGTTTCAGAATTAATTGAAGTATTATTGTTAATTTGAGCCCATAATGACAATTTAAGGAAATTGCCAAATTTGGTTTCTAATAATACTGAAACAATATGGCAGAAGTACTCAAAAGGAGATTGCATTAAAATGGTTTCACTTATGCAAGGAATGTGAATGCACGTGTATGAAATATGTTGTAAATTTCGTAGATTTCAGTGGAAATGTTGTTGAAGAATCATGACATGACAATTAATTAATTTTCATGTCTGTCTTTGCAAATATCTTTATGAGTGCATACATGAATAAATTATCTTTCTACCTCAATGTTCAAAATGACATCTGTTCATGCAGATATTGGTATGTTGGCGGCAGTGCTTGTACGTTTTTTTTATGGCCAGTCTGGAAAAGTATGGAGAATACAGTTTTGTACTGGTTGTGGTTGGTTTTTTCACTAGTGCTACCACGTGGACAGCATCCTTCAGCCTTGATACAACTTTATGACTTGGGATGACCACTGTATCTTGGATTCTGCACCATTCTGGATGCTTATTACCATTTATTTCCTCAAAATTAGTTACCCCTATGCAGATTTTTCATAAAACGGACCATGTGTAAGTAAGACTCTTTCACAGAGAGCTGCAATTATACTCAAGACTTGTTTCTCATCCTATGCACAAGCCTGTTCCCAAAATATTTTGGGGCTCTTACCTCCATAACCTTACATTAAAATAAGTTGAGACTGAATTAGTATAATAAAAGTACCATTTATGGCATTCATAAAACTCTGACAGAAATGCTGATTCATAAGTTATCACATAAAATTTCATTTAAATTCTTAGGTCAATTTTCTTCCAAGAAAATAAGAGAAGATGGATCGAGAAAATTAGCAAGTCCTGTTGTTGGGGCACTATTACTTGCATCAAATACAGCAAAACTAATAGGTTAGTTCCTTTGTGGAAATAACTTATCAGATAATTCAGAAAAATACTGAAATATAAATACCTTGTCGATTGTTGTATTAATGAGAGAGCCATCTGTTAGTGAATGGCACTGTAATGCTCAAAGACAGTATTCAGTGAATTCTTGAAAGGTTTTTTGTAAATCAAGTACTGTGTAGGATTTGAGGTTTTCACAGCGGTGAGTCTGAAGGTGAATCACCCTGATGACGGAGGCAGTATGACCTCTGAAACGTTGGTGGAAATCTCCCAGACTACACGGTACAGTAACCCAGAACATGGCAACCTTCAAATCAAGTACTGTTGGTCGACTACCTTTTATGGAATCAAAATTTTTGTCATTTACCAAGACCCCACCCCTCAACAGAAAAGAGAGCCAGACAAATTCAATAATTCTATTTAAGATTAATTTTTATTATCCTCCCATGTATTCTTAAAAATTCCACTAAGTCACTTTCCTTAAGGTTTTTCAACTGAAATGGCATGTATTTGTGCATTTCTCATCTCTATACATGGTTAGTACCTAATTTAGATACACATAACTACAGTGGGAGTGTCCGAAATGTCATGTATTAATCCTGTTATTATCGATGTGTGCATCCACAGACCTCCAGTGCCAGTCCTTGCCAAATAAATGCGGATCCTCTAGTATATGAAACAATTCTACAGAAATTGTACAGATTCTGTGCATCTGCAAAATCATTTGGTCATTGTAACTGCTCTGTGGGATTAAATATAGTCAGTTGTAATGAACTTAATTGTTTTGAAACACCTGGTAAAAAAACCATTGTGTGTTCTTTTCAGTGACAGGTTATTTATAAACGCTCCTCCAACCCAACGCCAGGGACCGCCATTTGCACCTGCCTTTATATCCGAGGGCCACGTCCTCAATCTGCAACCGGAGAAGGTGCCATACGTGGTGGAAAGGAGCCCACCAAATATGTTCATTTCAAGCATTACTTAATGTCTGCAGTTGAGGAAGCTTGTAAAATAAAATTGATGTCAGTAGGACTGCAAGAGTAAATTGGTCTTTCTCTCTAAAATGTCATCCAAGCAGTAATTTTTTTCTGAGTAATGTGCATATCAGTGGATGTTTTATTAACTGAATGCTCCCGGAATAATACTAAGAAATATATTCCTTATGTCTGAGGGATACAGAAACCGACCAGTCATTAGCATGCATGTAATGTTGTTCCGTAGTATTAGATATTTTTATTCGCTGTGTCATTTGAAACACAAAACTGTGCCTCTTCCTATTCACAGATGACATATTCTCTGTTATACTGATGTTACTGACACCCTACCCCCTTCTGTACACAACCACATTCAGATAAGTCAACACAGCATATTTTATTACTTAAGCTTCATATGTCTGTAACTCTTCAGAAAAAATAGAGAATTATGTGTCCTGCAGGGTCAGGTACATCGGAGACAGCCATGATTTTTTTATACTGTTGACCATATTCTGATTCTTATATGTTATTTATACATGGATTCCAATATTCTTTCAGGAAATTTCTGTGACATTATGGACAGTAGTCAGCAACAGCATTCAGACCGTTTGCACCAAGCTCAACACCAGCTGCAATTTACAGGGCAGCCAAAGGACCTTCAGGAGAAGAGACAAGTAAAATGGGGCAAACAAACACCAAAGTGTCATCCTGTTGAAGCACATCATCACAAAATCCCTCGACCACCAAAGCCTTCATGCTTTTCTCTAATGAATGGAGAAAGAAAATGGCTCTCCAGTATCCAGAAGACAGTAACAAACAGATCAGTGTGAGGTAAGTTATTAATTTTTGCTTTGTTTTTATAATCGTAATGGAAATATTAATTTTGTATTACCAGGAGTTTTCACGGCGACTAATTCGATGCCAACGTTTCGGAGAAAGATTCTTTCTCAATCTTCAGGGCTGAAGTGCCTATGCGGTGAAATGGAGAAATTTATATTAGAGGACAAAAAAATTGGAGACACTTTCTCCAAAACCTTGTCATCTACTTACAAGTCACGGCACCAGAACCCAGATATCGAGATGTTATATTATTAAAATGGGAGTAACTCAAACATTTAATTTTGCAATTAGATATGATTAAAAGGCATTTTATTGTTCCTGTCATTCTGTAATAAATCATTTATGATTTACCTTCTCTGATGTAAAATCACGCGATCAGAAACAACCGTTTACGGAATGCTGTGATCTGAATGTCATGCTTTCTGTTTTTAGATTACGTCTACAACCCCGAGGAGGCCCGAAAATAGAAGCGTCTAGAGACCAGGCCCGCGAGATGAAATTGCAGCGATCAAGATGTCAGTCAGCGAAGCAACGCCTCACCACCGCGCGGGCCAGCAGTAAAATAAAAAAATCTTCATAAACTTTATTTCTGTTGTTTTGGCAAAGTAATATTTGAACTTGTCGCATTCAGTACACTAGTGGTTAATGTGCTCAACACTGGACCCAAGGTCAAGAGATTTTTAAGGGGTGATAAAAATCTATATCACAACCTCCTTCAGAGAGGCGCGTAAAAGAACCTAACGAGCATGAGCGACATGTATTGTAACCAAAATTCGGCTGCCATTTCTCATCCATGTATCTCTTGATTCACTACTAGATGGTTCTAGCAGACAAAAGTCAGGACCGAGTAGAAATTGTGCAGAGGCAGTGGGCTAGTCACTCACTACTCACAAATGCACACTTCAAAAAGACCAGTAGAGAGAGTTTTAACTTGATATTGCAATACATGAGTATGTGTACTGAAACCTTTAGCAATAATATACTGGTGTAGGAGAACATTTTTTATTTCAACATTCTCAAGATAATAAATGATCGCTGCTACTTACGCTAAACGACTGAAATGTCGGACTCTGAATGTATGTCCTAGTAGGAGATCCAAAACAACCCAAATGTCTCAAAATTGTAGTAACTTTTTGTTTAATTTTTCCCACAGTTTAACAACACATCCCTTCACATTTGTCCTATTACCAGTCATGTTTCCTTCTATTCGGGATTTGAGGTTTTGATGATGCAAACAATTTTTACTTTTTCTTTTATCATACAAGTATGAAAACCTAGCTCAGTTTTTGCTAACTTCTCATTGGAGGCAGTGCATTCTAAACTTGTAATACTTTTCAGAGTGAAACAGTGTGTACACATGTAAACAATTAGTTCTATTTAATGACCGTAATAAAACAATAATTATCTTACTTGCCACTATGAACGCCAAGATCTAAATTGACAACACTAATAAATATTTCACTTACACTTACAGTATCATCATGGTACTACAGACTAATTATTCCGTGCGGACATTAAGGACACGAGTTATTTGAATACGCAAAATCAAATTAACGCACACTGTCACTGCATAATTTCTGCATAACAGTCACCTCATTTAAAAGACGCATCCTATGTTAGATAGAGGTCTGTTTAACGTGTTTGATTCATGGCACTCCCAGTAACGAAGTATATAACACACACAAATCAGGTTAACTTTGTAACATTATTGTTGTTAGTGCTTGGCTGTTATTGGCCTTTTGGCTGTTGTCAAGTACTTTAATAAATTAATTGAATTGAATTACATCATGTATCACAACACGGTAACACATAAATGAAACAGGCCCAGTACACACTGCTCTAAAAATCAATAATTCAGAGTTTGGCAGTGCAAACAGCGATTATTTACTTCAACAGTCTGCCACTACTCATGTAGTTCACATAGAACTTAGGCTGCGGTCACACTGCAAGCGTATACGCGCGAACTGACGGTCGGGCGTTATCGGGCGAACTACCAAACACGTTACAAGGCCTGTAACCGGTCACACTGCAAGCGAAGTTATCGCTCGACATCGCTCGTCGTTCAAACAGGTTTGTTTCATTCGCGCGAGGAGATGGACACTGAAAAATTAATTCATCTTGTGTTCAGTGAGAGGTGTTTGTGGGACCAAAAAAACGAAAAGTTATCATAACAGAGGTTTCAAGGAAGTTATGGAAGAAAATTAGTGAGGTCATGAATGTTTCAAGTAAGTACATATTGCAATTTAAGTTTATTACAAACTGTTCCTTGCTACACCAGTACAAATTCTACATTTCTGTTTGTTAAAATAGTAGATTGTGTGTGACACAGATAATTAGGGAACGTTGAACTGTTGGATAATGCTACCTTCACTACTGTTGAAATAGTTTTTGAATGCATCTCTGATGTCACAAGCCTGTTGTGCTGACCTATTATTTGATCATGATTTGTTTATATTTATTATGCTTGCATTTTCTGGTGTCGACGATGTAACAGAAGGATCATAAATACCTTCCTTCTCAATAATAATATTATGTAACAAGCATATGCACTTAACGATTACGTCAGCTTTGTCTGGTTCAGTTTCAATACACTTATTAAGTAACCTCCATTTGGCTGCAATTATACCGAAGGCACATTCTACTGTTCTCCGTGCTCTGGAGAGTCTGTAATTATAAATCTGTTCTTCCCTTGATAAATCTCTTTTTGAATATGGTTTCATCAAATAAGTCTTTAAAGGATATGCGTCATCACCTAATAAAACATGAGGAAGTGACAAATCAGTTTGAGGAAGATTTGCATCTTGTGGTAATTTCAGTGATCCATTTTCGAGGGATTTGTAAAAACTTGATGCAGCGAAGGTTCCTCCGTCACTCTGTTTTCCGTACCTGCCTATATCAACACATACAAATTTATAGTTTGCGTCACAAACAGCTTGCAAAACAATGGAAAAAAATTGTTTGTAGTTATAAAACTGCGTGCCAGATTTTTCTGGACATTTCAAACGGATATGTTTCCCATCAATGCAGCCCACACAATTAGGAAAATTCCATTTATCAAAGAATTCAGCAGCATTTTTCTTCAGTAATTCTTCTGAAGGAATTGGCATATGTAATGGCTGTAGGGAATTCCATATTGCTTCACAAACTTCATATACAATCTGTCTTACGGTATTGTGTGCCATTCGAAATGGAAAACTTAGCGAACGAAACCCAAGACCGGTTGATAGGAATCTAAAAAAAGTAAAAATGTGAGTATACAGAAGCACAGAAATGTTGGCAAACATTTACAGGCAATGTCAAAACAATAGAAAACCTTAAAATCAATAAACTGTATGCTTGCAATAATTACTTTATAATAATTTACTGATAAGGTTGTATATTTGTAGGTGAAACTGCAAAGTCTAAATGGAAGAATCTACGTGATACGTTTAGACGGGAGTTTCAAAAACTCCAACAAAGAAAACACACTGGTGACAGTGGTGGTACAAGGATGTCAAGCACCTGGCCCTATTTCGAAAATTTACTTTTTTTATCGGACCAGATGACTCCAAGGGCATCCTGTGGGAATATTCCAGAAGTCTCTGCAGTTTATGACAGTAGCACTGATAATAAAGAAATTGAGACGGGCGAGACTACAACTGAACAATCCTGTGATATCGGGGAGTTGGCAGAACAAGGTTCCCAAAATATAATTCCGACTGATAAAAAGCCAACGAAGAAACGTAGGCAAAATATTGAAGAACAATTACTAACATTGGAACAAGAAAAATTGAAGATTTTAAAAATGAAATATGATAATTCAGCTTCAGTCTCTCTGGAGGAAGACAGTGACTATCAATTTTTAGTAAGTTTACTGCCTTTTTTAAAAAAAAGTCAGTCCAAGCAGAAAGATGAGAGTCCGCATGAAATTACAAGAAGTTTTCATAGAAGACGAAGCGTTATCTTCAGGATCATCATCAGTAGTGGCGTCCACACCCTTCTCCTTTCATTCACACACTGCCAATTCAGAAAGTGGTGATTCATATCAACAGAATGATTTTGGTCATTCATCATCACTTCCAAATTACTTTAGCACTTTTCAGTAAATAATTATCAATGAAAAAATGAACGAATGTTTTGCTGTATTGTAAATTGTTAATAATAGATTATATTTTGGTTTCTTAATATTTGTATTTTTTTTTGAAAATTAATAAAATAAAAATGTAAAAGGAAAATATAACAAAGATAAAATAAGTATGGAAAATCTTACCTCAGTGCCACTGTTAACCATTCTGATGGTGAAATACAGTTTCGGAAATTACTCTGTTTTTTATTGTTTCCTCAATAGCATTTAATATGTATTGGTATGTATTCAACGACATCCTGTAGTAGTCATGAAATCTGGTTGGTTGCAAGCACAATTTATCAAAAAGTGTGTGAAATTTACTTTCACTTCTGTCTTGGTATATATCATTCACCCAACATCGTCGTTTGTTCTTTCCAGCTACTAAAAACTTAAGCAAACTGTTCTCTGACAGATACATTTCTTCCTCAAGCTCCATTTTCATACTGAAGGCTCGCGCCACAAACGTTCGCGCGATGTCGCTTGCAGTACTACCACTATAAGTTCGCCCGATAACGCCCGACCGTCAGTTCGCGCGAATACGCTTGCAGTGTGACCGCAGCCTTAGCACTGAATGTTCTGATATTAATTAGGCGACTTCAAGCTATAAAAGGTGAATATCTTATTGATGGCTACAAAACACTTGCACGAGAAAAATACAAACAAAACTGGACAAATTAATGAACATAAGACATATAGGAAAAAGAAATGTCTTTACCGTTCTTTTAAACATAAAAATGGTTGACCTCAACATGAACTGAAGCAGAGATGAAGTGTGCCAAAATCACTCACAAACTGCAATTTTCATAAACACAATTTCAGTTACATAAGAACAAAACCTAAAGTCAAACGTTCAAAAGATTTTCTGAGAAATAGTTGTAATTTTATGCATAATTTGCCTTATTAAGGTAACATCCATCACTCAGCTATAAATGGTAAATAAATTAATTACAGAAAAAAGGAAGGTTTCGAGTTAAAAATGACGTAACTATAATGTTTTAAATTTTATCATCACAATAATTCTAATTCAAAGGGGCATCTAATATTAACTGAAAATATATGAAGTTTACTCCGTCATAAAATACATAAAACCAATTATAAGGAATTCATATCTAATAATATTGTTCACTTTAATACAAATTAATATCAAGTACATAAAACATTTATGAAAGTATTTTAGCAGTAAATTAAAGCACACTACATGTCTCTAAATACATTATACATTTATGTAATTTATATATAATAGGTAATGAAATAGAAGAAATTATGAAATTTTAAAAGAAATATTTTTACATCAAAGAATGGTATAACCTCGTTGACTGACTCATTATTTGAAGAGAGATTAACTTGTGGGCTTCGAGCACTAATAGTGTTGGCATTTGTAGACGGTAGAAAATAGTGAGTTATGAAGAAACCACTTATGAGCTGAAATAAGTTTACGTGTTTATAAACAGTGGAAGATCATTTGAAGTTAAGATTCGCTGAACTAAACCAAACATAATAAATTAAATTAAAGCAGGTGATAAAATGACAGCTGGCTTCTATACAGCATCAGATGCTCTGAAGCTATATTTATTAATTTTCTCAACTAGAAAACTGATAGTTGCAGACGCAAGGTTAATCGCGATCTTACAAACTCTCTTTATAACAAAATACCGATGTGCCTAATTAACAAACTCCAGTAAGAAGAGGCATTTTTTACGATCTAATATTAATTAATCTGGTCCATAAATTAAACTACTTTTATGGATTTATTTTATTTATTTAGTTTTCTATCTGACGACAGGTCCATATGAACAGGATCCTTCCATCCTTTTCTCGGATTGGGACCTGTTCATATACGTTCTTGGCAGATGATCCAGAAGTGGTTTGCCATTGCCTTCTGTGTGTGAATGGAGTAATTGTTGGGATGCCACGGAGAAACCGGGGAAGCCCCCGGAGGAAAAAACTGTGTTGCCTAGACCACGGCCTTGCCCAACACAAGTTATAAATTCTGATATTCTACGTGTTTTAAGATCAATTTTAATATTATCCACCATGGTGGTATTTTCAATTTAGGTCTTTCGACTAGAACTCTGTACTCATTTCTCCATTTTTCACATGCGCACTACATTCTACGCACGCCTCGTAAGAACCTTGAAAGTAAAGCTAACCAACAAACTTCCCTGGTATCAGAACCCGCAGGCTCAACACCGACAACACCAAATCCTGCCACCGGCCACGATCCTGAGCCAACTCCATCCATTTACCATCCTCACAACCCACCTCCCTGAGATCCATCTTGATATTATCTTCCCATCTCCTCCTTGGTTTGCCCAGTGGTCATTTTCCAGAAGGTGTCCCTACCAATATTCTGTATGCACCCCTTGCCTCCCAGATTTCACTACCCTCACTATGCTAGGTGACCTGTACAATTCATGCAGCTCATTGTGTTGCAGTATTCAAAATTCCCGTACTTATTTCATCCCTCCTAGGTCTATATATCTGAAGGGCATAATTTACTTGGAAAGAGTCAACATCCACGACTAGCTTTAGCATTTGATTCAGCGGCTGTGACAACAGTAAATTTTCAGGGTACTAGTGCCAGCACAGAGCTCAATTACGCATTCAAAGTAACAGACGACATTTTCAGAAACTTTTGCCAATACTTTATGAACATTAAAATCCTGTTCACATATTTTTAAGAACAAAAATAAATGTGCTTCTGATAAGCTGTTTTACTCGTCTCATTCCAGTTCTCACTAATGAAGAGGTTGCAACTCAATGTTTGTGGGAACTTTCTGGCTTTATTTTAGGAACAAAACATAATCATGTTTGATGCATGCACTTAAGAAGTACCTACTGTGTGGCTATTTGTAATTATCTGCATATACAAAATACTGATCTAGAAAACATCCTATTATTAAATTTCAGAAGAATTACATAATTGCTTTCTGTTACACTTGCCAATTCATGTCATAAAAGAGTTTACTTTTTCCTCCATTCCTATATTTTTACAGTACCAATTCATGTACAAACTTTCACATAAAGTAACCTCCATCACTTTTATGTAGTCAGGTTATCTTGCATGGGGCATCTTTTGTAGCTTACGGACTTTTAAATTACCACCTGTTAATATATCCACTCGGCCAGTCGAGAGCTGGAGACTAAGAGTTGCATTTCCAGCCAAAGAGTGGAGGAAATTTGCTTTAACATTGAAATCAATGTTCTTCTTGCCCACTAGTGCTGAGAACAAAAATCAAAATTCTCATGTGCCTAGTTCAGTCAAATTCCGACGGAGAGAATAACAGAGGGGCATTGCTGGAACCTGCAGCAAACATTCTCGGTGTTGAACATGTTGAACTTTGCCAATGGGAAGAAACAATCAGCATTCTAATACACAGAGTTAAACCTCTGAGACGTCTTCTGCCCCTCTATAACCAAGCCCCGAGAGTAATCTTGTCTTTATTCAGGGTAAACCCAGCCTGCTGGAGACGGCGAAAAACTTCACTAAGCTCGGCGATAGACGACGAATAGACCACTAGGTCATCCATGAAATTGAACACGTATTTCTCCTTCAGATCCCAAAATAAATCATCAATCACACGACTCAATCCTTTGCACCCAACGCTAATCCCCGTGGGCAACTCGTTAAATTCATACAACCCAAAAGGTGTGCAAAATGCAGTAACCCGACGGCTAGAGGAAGAATCTGGTAGAATGCGGAATTTAAATCCAACACGGAAAATACCACCGAACCAGCAAACTGTTGGAAAGCCTGGTCTATCTTTCGTAACGGATAAAAATCATAAACGACCTTCGCGTTGACTCTACGATAGTCCACTGCCATACGGGCACTAAGAATACCGGACTGGCATACGGAGATTTGCTGGGACGTATAACCTCACTTTTTAGCAGGTCAGCCTCCAGCGGTTTCTATAAACAACGGACGAGGAGTAGCAAAAACGGAATGTGTAGTTCGATTAATCTTTGGCCATCCGCACTTACAACACCTGCAACAACATACGTACATCAAAATACTTACAATTACACGCATTCCCACATAGGTGAAAAATGATAAAGATCTTGATTTCTCTGAATGTTCCAACTTCCATCGCTTCTACTTCTGATAGTTTGTAGCTTGACAGTTTTAGCTCATCTGTATGGGTTATAATAGTTTTGATCGGTGTATCTAGCTTAATGTTATCTAGTTTTACTTTATTACCTGTTTTCTCACAAAACTGACATATTCCAAGTATTGCGTCTTTATTAGTGTAATTTACTTCTCGGATCGCCTGTTCATGAATTAAAACTTGATGTCCGTACCCTGAACAAGGTTTCAGGAGTGTAACTTTTCCCAACCCGTTAGTGGTTACGTCTACAGGATCGGGCTCTGGACAAATAATTGTCATGCGTTCGGCGTATGGAGGTGTTACATATAACCAAACGTCCACAATGTCTCCTTCAGTTCAACGATTCTGGGATTCCAGAACTGAATTGCAAAAGTCTTACTTCACAGTCTGCAACTGAATGGAAAATCTTGCTTACCCACTCGAAGTTCTGAATGACGGGTATAATATTGTCTGCAGTACGGCGTCTTGCCATTCTTCAGAGGCTCTTAATGCGTGTTCCCGTATCTTGATTGAACTGTATTTAATTGTCCGTTTTCCTATCTCTGACACTCCCCTTGCAGGAATCTGTTCATTGCGAGGTACGTCGTTCAAGGTTCGGTTTAATGCGTTTAGTGCATTCTTAACGATAACTGTCCCTATGATCCACATAAGCGTCTCTTAAAACGGTCTGATTTCGAAACTCGTTGGGCCAGTTCTGATTACGTAACTTTCACAGACTCAATCTTACTTAATTTTCTGTGTACATGCGTGATCGAGGACCTGTATTTTGTTAAATTCACCCAATCTGAACGTCCGTGTGTTTGACAAGACTCTCTAGTGAACTTGGGGCATATTTTCTAACGGTTTCGAAATGTCCAATCAGCACGAGCGAAATCCGCGTAGGTTAGTATTTTCCAAACGTCTGGTCCTCCGAGGTGTTCGCAGTAAAGTCCTGGCGATTCCGGAATCTGTTGGAGTCTAAGATCTAGCGTCTCTGCTGCCATGATGATCATTGACCCCATCTGTAAATCACAAAGAATGGCTTGATTCTATTTGCATTTACTGTGATTTGTTTGTATCTCCGAAGTCGTAAGGTAGCATTTACCCCGTGTGTCTCTCTTATTGCATATTGGCCTAATTTCTTAGAACGGGTTTCTCCACGGACTCTCGTACTGTAACAAAACCTTGAACTTGGGTGCAAGTATGTCTATCTGTCTGTCGTAATAATCCTTACTCCTGGCTTTTGCGACTTCTAACCTCTCCTCGGCTACTGTGTAACTGTTTTGCGATCTCTGCTTCAACTCCTGAACGTGGCTGTCCAACGCGTAGTTAACACCTTCCGGCGGCTTCTGTAGATAACCCGGTAAATTGTCAGCTCGCCCGAACGTGAATTCGAACGGCGTGTAGTTTGTTGCGCTATGTGGCGTAGTGTTGTATGCGAATACAGCATATTTGATCCAGTCGTCCCAGTTGGATTGATCCTTATCTACAAAATGCCTGATAAATTCAATTAAAACGCGGTGGGCGCGTTCCAAAGACCAATTCGTCATTGGATGCACTGCAGTGGTGTTTATTTTCTTCACGTCCAGTAACTTGCAAACATTCTTAAACATATCACTCAAAAAATTGGCTCCGCAATCTGATAGTAGGACCTGAGGGCATCCGTATATCAAAACTACATTTTCAATTTTTGATTTCTCAAAGGTACGGCGATCAAATACTTGGTTAGTTCATCCTGCATGGTTAAAATGTACCTGTTCTGTGAGGAACTAACATTAATCGGTCCAACTACATCTATGTTTATCTTCTGCAATATCGAATTGAGTGTAGTGGTTAACTGTAAAGGCAATTTGGTATTTAGTTGAGTAATCTTATTCTTTTGACAGGATTCACACTTCTGAATATATTCCTCTACATCTTTCTTCATGCCTGGCCAATCAATTTCTTATAGGTCCTGTTCATTCCCATGGGCGCTCCTAGTGGCGTCGAGTGAGCTCCGCGTAATATTTCTGCTTTTTGCTCCTGAGTGAGTTCCTTGCTTGGTTCCTCGCCTTCTCCTGGCTGTTGCATAACTTGGATTCTACTGAGAGCGTCGGGCCCTCCATTCAAACTTCCCTTTCGGTACATTATCTGATGATCGAACTCTTTATCTCCTGGAATTTGGATTCTTTACACTTGATATCCACGAAAGTGGCTGATGGTCACTAATAATGAAAAATTTTCTGCCACACAGGTACGGTCGAAAATGGGTGCAAGCCCATACTACTGCGTAAAATTCCTTCTCTATCACCCTGTATGCTAATTCGGCTTTTGTTAATGCTTTACTTGCATAAGCTGTTGGTTTCTCATCCCCAATAGACCCTTGGCTAAGAATGGCACCTAATGCCTTGCTAGTTGCGTCTGTACATAGTATAAATGACTTTGTAAAATCAGGATATTGCAGAAATTGTTCACTCGTTAGAATTTGCTTCAATTTGCTAAATGCATCCTGTTGTGGCTCCTTTGTCAGATAAAATAGCGGCTTTGCTTTCTGGCTGTACTGTGGAATAAAATGCCTATAGTATCCGGTCAATCCGAGAAAACTCATCGCGTGTTTGTGGAAAGGGAAAGTTCTTTACGGCGGACACCTTGGCTTCGTCCGGCCTTACCCCATCACATGACCTAGGTAGACTACCTGTTCCCTAAAAAATTCGCACTTGTCCAAACGCAATTTTAAATTATGCTCCCTCAATTTGTCAAACACCCCTGAAAATCTCTACCATATAAAATTGTGTCATCTAGGTAAATCAGTGCCCGTACACCCTGTATACCACTCATTATATGATTCATCAACCTCTGAAACGTCGAAGGCGATCCCTTGAGCTCCATCGGCATTCTTTTATACTCAAAATGCCCCTTTTGTGTGGAAAATGCCGTTTTAGGCTGGTCGTCTGGATTAAGGGGAATTTGACAATACCCCATCGCGCAGTCCAGCGTCGAGAAGAATTTGGCCTGTCCTAAAGAATCTAGCAAATCAGTTATCAACGGCAGTGGAAAACTATCCCCTATTGTGACCTCATGCAGATTTCGATAGTCCACGACCATCCGCCATTTTTGTTTTCCTGAAACATCTGTCTTTTTGGGTACCATAATTATAGGTGAATTCCACGGTGCCTTGCTGTGAGTGATAATCCCTTCGGACAGCATCTCGTCGGTCTGTCTGTCTACCTCATCTTTCAAAACTTGAGGTGTCCTGTACCGTCTGACATTTATTCCCCTGGTCTTATCAATCGTGGGTGTCGGGATCGAATGCTGAATGGTCTGAGTACAAGACAGCTTGTCTCCCGGCAGGTAGAAGATGTCATTGTACCTAATGCATAAATTTAGAATTTCCTTCCTTTCCTCCCCATTTAAATGATTCAATCGCAGATGTTGACCCAATAATTCTTACTGACAGTGTACATTATCCTCAGGTTATCCGAGTCGCATTCGTATGGTTCTAACTGTACCTCCGGTGCTTGCATGATGACTCGCTGTAACCGTCCCACTCCTGTTTGCTGTTGGAGTTGCCCGGCTCGGTTCCAGTCTTGTCGATCACAGACGTCTACGATGTAATTCGGGATTTCTGCTCATGTAGGCATGGAACTTTTCTCAGGGAATATTACATGGAGGGGTATAAGCTGAATGCCAGCGAGGAAGGTTTCGGTAATGGTCTTGAGATTAAAGTTCGTAGTTTTGCAAAGCACAATTTATTTCTTTTACGATTAACATTTACTGGCCGAATCGAGCTACAAAACAATTTAGGATGTTGCTTCCTCTGAATTCCAGAAAAGAGTGTCCTCCAAGAAAACTTTCCTGTCCTTTAGTTATAGGACTTCCCCCCTTAACTTTCACAAAAAAATGATGTATTTGGGCAGTAATGATGCCCTAGCTCACGTGGACCATTAAAAAACCCTTTAGCCGGCGGGTGCCCCCCTGAAAGTAGTTTGGGGGTCACACGGTGCCATAATTCTTTCCTTTACAGTCGTTGCTTGTGCAACTTTCTTTTCTTTTTTAAGTGTCAGTGAGCCTTCTGCACTGAATGCAGAGCACCTACCAATAAACTGACCCCTGGCCTGAAAAGGACGCACTTGCCTAACAAGCGAAACGCGTAAATCTTTATTACTTGTTTCCAATTTATTTTTATTTGCGCCTCACCGGGACTCGAACCCAGAACGCGCGGTCACACTTCCGTATCTAGTGTGTTGGCAATACAAATTACGCAACGACCGTTCACTGATTATTATTAATTAAATACGCGTGTTTTGGATCTCAGCCTTCAGGTGTGTTAAATTGGGCTTCTAGTGGGGCGGCTTGAGGTTGCGTCTCAGATTGTGTTGTTGTGGTCGATGTTATTTTGAACTCTCGTAAAGCTTCAACCGTTTTGAATTTTCTGTTAAACTCCGTAGTTTTGTTAGATGTTAGGTTTTTTTTACTGCGGTGACGATAAGGCAAATGTTTCACTGGGTTTTGACGTCGTGTTGACCTCGTCGACCACCAAACACAGGATTAAAAGCAGATTTTCATAATTCTCTGAATTCTCTTTTTCATTCTGCCAGTTTTTGGCGATATATATATTATTGTATCCCGAGGGATTGGCCAGTCCCGTAGGAGTGCAATATTCCCGAGCGGCTAGGAACGTTGGTCGGCGATGATAGGTTTGAATACACAGCTTAAGGTTAATGCCTAGTCTGACGAGAAGACGTTCGAAAGTTGATTATTTATTTTGATAATTGAGATGAGTACAGTTCGTATGAAACACGTATATAGGTAGAAATAATCAATATACAACAGATCACTCGGGTTTACACTCTTACGTTAATGAAGGGAACGTAAACTGTATTATTGTTTATTTGCAAATTTGCTTTTCTATTAAAGTTACTTCCCCAACTAACATATATCGCAATTCACTAAAAATTTTAATATCTCCCCCTTAATTCAACAAACAGTTTGCGTTGGAAGAGGATTTGAGCTCAGCTTACCCTTTTCTGGAAGTGCTTGGCTGTGAATAAATTCACAGGGGACCCCGAACTCTTCCTGGAAGAATGAAGATGGTGAAATGTGCGGTATCCTGGAGACTCTGGGGTGGTGATGGGCGGTATTCGGCACCCTCTGGCTTCTGACGACGAGCAGAGACGGAACTCTGAAGTCCTGCACCGGGTTTCGTAGTGGAGGCGGCGTCTCGCAGCGGCGGTTGTTGGCAGCCCTCAGGGAAGCACGGTTCTCGGTCCGTTCCACCTGATGAGTGGAGGTCTCCCTGAGCAACAAGGACGCAAGAGAGGCGATCTTCCACTGTGGCAGTAGCAATTCACGCCAGCTATCAATGTCTTCTTGTTCAAGCGTCGTCGGCAGTGTCTATCAGATTCTATCAGGACCGGTAGCTCGTCAACTGTTGCCTCTGCTTTTAATTACTTGCTTGAAGTCTTTCGTCGACTGTGTGTTATATGTGGTTATTATGATCCCCGTATTGCAGAAGCAGCAGTTGCACACACACTTTTAATGTCTTACGAACTAGAACTCATAATCTACAAAGAGACGAACTACGATATAACCTACAGATATTATACTGGTGCAGACAATTCTCTATTCTAAAACTCCTCCGATATTCTAAGTGTAGAATGATTGAGAAAGCCCTTTCACCAACAGGGGAGACTAAATTTGTAAACATTCACTCTTTTCAATTTGGCTACTCAATGTAGTACATCCCGTCTCGGTTTTCCTTCAAACAAACTCAGATAATACCAAAGCCTACCTGAAAATGACCCGAAGGTGCAGCTGCCGTGACGTAGATAGTGGTGTCCTGCATCCACTCAGTTTGGATGTCAAACAACGACTGCCTGTCCTCTAACTTTTGTCGCATTATGATTTTAATTGCAAAACATTGGGAATAAGCTAGCTTTTTAAAGGGAAAAACGCCACGAACTTTAAGCACGCGTGTCAAAAATGACAATTGCATAATTAAGCAGAGTCAAAAATGACCCGTGCATGTTTAGGTAGGCGAGCCATGAATCTCCACGTGGAAACAAAGCACCGGGTGTTCCACGAGAACTTTCTACTGTTCACGCGCATCTCACTACATCTAAAACAGATATACTCTATAAAAAACAAGTAGAATCACTACAATATGGCTGACACATTCCAAAAGACACGCTTCTCCACTGCATGCACGTACAACGGGAATTTAAGCCTGTTGGTGGAATGCATTCAAACTGACACAATGTAAATCTTTGTAAAAATGTTTTGTGTTTATCTGCTCTCTGCTTAAATTCTAGTTACATACAGAAATTTGTATCATAATGGACTAAACAAAGAAATCGGTAATGAGATACACTTAAGTTAAAAAATTGTATTAATCATTTAGGATTTGAGGTTTTCACAGCAGTGAGTCTGAAGATTGCTGTCTTCTGGGCTATTGCGCCGTGTAGTCTGGCAGATATCCACCGACGTTTCAGAGGTCCATGCTGCCTCCATCATCAGGGGCGATGAATGTATATCGCTAGACACGCCCGCACTCTCCTATTGGTCCCCATCCACCGTTGATTTGCTCTGATTGGCTATGATCAGGCTCACCGGTAAATTTTCGGTCCCTATTGGCCTGGCCTTTTCCGCTCGATTGGCACATTCATCGCCCTGATGACGGAAGCAGCAAGGACCTCTGAAACGTCGGTGGAAATCTACCAAACTACACAGCGCAACAACCCAGAAGACAGCCATCTTCTGTATTAGTCATTTTTACTAGAGCTTGTACGAGGTGCGATCAGAAAGTTTCAAGACTGTGTCAATAGAGGGCGAACCGGAAGTAGGACGAGTTTCTGCCGCTAGGGGATGCGGCCTACATTCATAGTGAATCAGTGTGCCAGCCGACATCATCGATTTAGCATTTCTTTCTTAGTTACGGGCGTTTTGGTAGTGCATTACACCGACCCTCCTGCGATTTCGGAATGGCGGATTTTCATGAACAAATCAAATTTTGCCAAAGACTCGCCAAAACGGCTACGGAAACCTATGAAATGCTAAAGCAAGCATTTGGGGAGTCCGCAATGGGTCGTGCACAAACTTTTGTGAGGCATTC